CGGTGTTCATTTAAGTCATTTAGCCCTTGTGCCCAGTTTCCTTGCTGTTTCACCGTTGTACTCTGCATCACAATCCTTGCACCTGATATTGTAAATGACCCCAAATTTCTCCTCAGCCACGATTTCATCTTTTATTTTGGTCTTACCAGTCGCTGACGACGGGTGCGATGGGGTTTGAAACAATCGTGAACTTCACGCTTCTTAAAGATTCTTTGAAGAATCTCGGAGACCCCACTACGGGAGCACAATAAATTACTTTCTACAAGAGTTAGACCTGTGCTTGACTTGTTCTTGGAGTAAGAGATTGGGTAGTGGCAGCTGCAATGGACCAGGGTGGATATCCGCAGTGTTGCAGGGCAGTTGAAACGTTGTGACAGTTCTTGCTTGAGATCATCGGAATCAGACACGATACCGACATTTAGTACGGTGGAAAAGTGCTCTTGTAACGCTGTGCTTATGTTGCAGAGGGTGATGCGAAATTTGAACAAATTGTTGGTGTTGAAGGATTTTTTTTTTTTGTAATATAATGTCGCAACAGAAGAATCTTCACTTTAATTGCCATTCTAACAAACATTGCGTGGGTTTACTTACCAACTTGAGTTTCAAATACGCTCGCACAGAACTCAGAGTTCGACATCGCTAATGACGCTACCATCAGCACAGTAACCATTCGAAAGACCAAACGAATAGGCCACGAGACAACCACGGACCAGAAGCTGAACATCCCTGTAGCTGAATGCGATACACTTATATCAGCCTTATACCCTGGGTGTTTTTAATTTGTTTAGTTTTAAAAACATTTTTTAATGGCAGCTCTTAAAAGTAAAGCCATTTGATTTATAATTCACAACTGTTTAATTTGAACTAGGACTGACGACGGCGAATCTGGAGACCATCATTATCAGCTCGCCGTAGTTTCGTATAACGGAGGTAGATTTTTGCTCATGATTTATAGCTGACTGGCAGTATGCCGGTATGTCATATATGTCTACCATCATACTAGAAAAGTGTATTTATTTCATTATTATTATTATCATTTTAACGTTAAGTAACCTTTGAATTAAGCTTACCGAGTGGGAAAAATGTTTTAGTAATCAGATATACTTCTTGCTTAGATCCATTAGTTAGTTGTTTTTGATTATCTATGCAAACCTTGAAAAGTGAACAAAAAAAGATGGTCACGTGGCACAAACGATGTCTGACCAGTGGTAGCTTTCCCATTCTTAACACTTTATCTTAGGTTCTGTTTCCATGACGTAAACGGGTGGATAAAGCAGCAAATTTTAACACACAGCATTCACCTAAAACAGGCTTAAAAAATCGCTTGAAAACTCAAGAAGTGTGAAAGTGCCCCCATATTCAATTAATTAAACCCTCGATCCTAGATTGCAGAAACTGTGAAATTAGTCTCTTTCGTTTTCTCCTTTTATGAACTAAAAACAGCTTTACGTAGAGGAAGTCCAAGGCCCGGAATTAGTAGCTCAATATATGTTTAGCCTCGTATATATATAAGTAGTCAAGAGTGATTCAGAAAACACAACAAAAGAAAACTTCCGCATTTCTTCAATGAAACGCCGATCGTTTTGAAAAAATGCACT